TGAATGGCTTCCCTAACTCTGTGCAGCAAAGCTGTGTTGCAGCCAGGACTCCAAGACTCCAGTTCTCCAAGTCCTGATTCAAGCGGACCATCCCTGCTCTCTAGTGCCCCAGGGGCAGCTCGCTGCCTGCAGTCTCTTGCCCTCTGGTATGCAGTATTGTAGCAAAGCCTCACTGCAGAACCAGAAAGACATTTCCTGGGGCCTATGCTGTTTTACCATTCCTTTTTTGCTTTCAAAACAGTTGCATCTTGTCGGTCATGTAGTTTTTGTGCAATACAACTTGAGCTGTCTCCAGGTGTACGAGGCTGAAAAGCTGACGCCCTGACAAGCCGGTCTGGACTGCTCACCTTAACTCCTGGTGGTGCCACAGCAAGGGGACCGCACATCAAATTGGCGCAGATGTGTCATGCAGCACAGATTTGGCACTGCTTTTTCCTGTTGTGGTGATACTCAATATGTTCAAAATGCTCCATTTTGCATTCCTTCTCTTTCTGATCAAGCGTGGAAGCCAGGACCCCTTGACTGCACATAGGGAAACTCTGGCAGCTACCAAGCTCTGGACATGCCAGCCAACAGCAGCACCTGAACCTGTGCCTGGATGCCTGGCTGCTCTCCTGTGACCCCCTTGGCTAGTCCACTGTTGGCTGTGAAATCTTTTCTGTGGCTAGTACAGAGTTGGGGCAGTGATTACATTTTCATGTGCATGTTATCGCCACATTCCTGTGTAATGACCTTCCATGCTAATCAGGCTGCCAGCCGCAGGCACCATGCCTGTCTGCTAACCAGCCCCAAGAGGCAGTCTTGGAATTATTTTCCTGCATTGCAAGAAGAGGAAGATGTCATTTATAAACGTTAAGATACTTCCAAGTATTTGCTACATAATTTTAGTTCTGTACCAAATAGAACAAGTGCATATTTTGATTTGCATTCTCTTTTCCTGCATCTGTATCTTCTCTGCATCTGTTTGTAGGTGTATTTTTAAGGTATATACTTTGCAGTAGATGATTTCCTAGGTAATGGAAGTGTGTGTTTTGCCTCCTGTGCAATACCCGGGCTTACAGGTGGTACAACGACATGACCCTAGTGACAGGAGGTCACAAGCAAAATGGGCTGTGCTCCAAAATGGGCTACACTCACTTGCCCATGCCCTCTTGGCAGATAAGCCTTTGGGGACTATAACTGGTTGCTATGGTTTAAAATTAAAAACGAAGAACCAAGCAATCCCCCGCCCTACACAAGGCTGCACTAAATTTCACTTAGTGCAGTGTAGAATAAGTCCACAACGAGCAGTGACTGGCACACCAGAGAGCATAGGCCTGAGTATAAGCATACAGATATATTAACGCACTTACGACTTTCAAAACAGAGTGGGTACCTGTAGGCACATAAGTTCATGTTTAACCACCTAAATGAATAGTCTGATTTTCAAAGCTCCGGTGCAGTCAGCAGATCTTACTGAAGTCACAAGTGGAAAGTGAAGCTTTGTATTCTATGCTGCTATGACTTTTTACATCGTGCTTTTCTTAATGAGTCTATTCTAAACCTTTTGCTAGCAGAACCCTCAAAAAAAGGAACAAAGAACAATCATCCTAACTGTACTGCAGTATACTCTTATAATAAGTAAAAAATGTGGTGGGAAAGACAAAGTACCGCTTTTACAATATCCTGTGCCAAATCACAGGTTATACAATTCAGTTTTTTATTTGCACAGCCAACAGTGCTTTGTAGAGCAATCAGGGAAGATAATACAATTCATTTTAAATTCTCATTACTTTAAAAGTGTTGAATCTTCCTAAATTGTTTTGGGGTTAATTGAGAACTTGCTGTCTTTCAATAGACTAGGAATTGTTTAGGCTGCCCTTGTTTCATATTTTTTGTGCATACCTTTGTTGCAAAGTTATAAAAACAACAATAAAAAAGAAACAAAGAAGTGAAATGAAATAATGATCTGCATTGTTACTATTCTAGCATTCATTTTTATGGGAGATAAAGCTCATGTATTGATTAATGTTTAAATGGTTATGAAGTGGAAGTACACAATGGTTATGAAGTGGGTTAAGGGAATGTGTCACTCACCATGCGTTAGTGTTTGTCTTTGCTTCTTTTCTGCATAATCCCTAAAGGATAACTTCTGCCCTGCGGGGAAACTCTGAGCGACTTTTGAGGGACCATGAATAAGCCACATATTGTCATTCTTTGTTTCTTTTTCCCATGAATTCCCAAAGGTTTTGGTTTCCACATCTCTCCTCTGATATATTTTAACATAGGAATGGCTCACAAAGAAGTGGAGTTTTTCATGGCTGGATTTATTGAATTTTGATCCTGAAATTGGCTGTCTGAACACCGATGTGTTCCCATGTGGCCCTGGCAAAGTCAATATGGTTCAG